TCGTATCTAAAAAAAAAAACTAAAATATGGCAATAAGCTGGCACATAAAACCTATATTTATTAAGAACTGTCTAAACTGACATGCGAGCAAATCCTATTATATTAACGATAAATATAACAACACTGCCCGTTTCAGTGGCTAATTCTTTGTTTATAATTAATAAAAAAGTTTGTTACCTTAGATTTGGATACAAAAAAATACTGTCCTATAAATTTCAAAACAATCTAAATCTCTTCTTTGAGAGACCCAAAATAGATGCGGGACAAATCCTGGTAGACAAACTCAGCTTCAGGTTATCCTGGATAATAGCTATATGATTTTTCAAAAGTCGTCAAAAACCAATTAAATTACGCGAAACTGCTGAATTGTTCTTCTCTACCGCCAGATACACTGTGTTAAACTCGTATTTCGTCGAACCAGTTTTTACTTGCAGACAATCCGAAATTATGCTTTTGTAGGAAGTTATCTAAATTCAAACGCGTTTAAAATGCAGTCAAACTCGACAATTACGCAGTTTCCAGATGATTCCTAAAATACACTTAAATAAACAAACTTCAGGTCGCTGTGACGTAACATGCATAACTTTTTGTACAAGAGACACTTTCTTCTGTAAAAGTAGGTATTGAACATTAAAACATGTCTAATTTAGCGCAATTAAGTTGAAGTTAAATATACTTCATTTCGATATACTTATTTACTATATTATATTCATTCCGATATACTCTGTACGAGTACAAGAAACCAATTCGCTAAGGAATTTTGCTTAGTTGATGAGATATGTAGTGGAATGCAAATTTTAGATTCCCCATGTCTCTAATAACATCTTTATTAACATCTCTTTTGCCTTGCAATTCTTAGAAGGCACAGAATAAAGCAAAAATCTGAATTTGGTTTCAAAAATTAGTTTACGGATTTCAATATTAGATGTCGTTATTTGCGTCTATACGAAGCCATGTTAGAGTTGCTTTCTAAGACAGAAAATATTTATTTTTACGTTCAGAACGACTGTGAATAGCTGTTCTGATAAGCCCTACTAGGGCGAAATACGTATAAGCAGATACACAGACGCACTATACGTGAAATCAAATCTTGACTGTCTTTTTCTTTTTAAATATACTAATTTGTTAATTGGTTCTTCTAATATTTTAAATGTTGGTTCTTCTAATGTGTAACGGATTTTATATTTTGAGAGAACTATGGATTGTACATAAAACTTGTTTCGGCATCTAAAAATACAAAATAAAGTGATGTACCTATTGTTTTTACTAATAATTTATTTTTGGCCTTTATTTCTACAATAATTATTTTGTTTATTCTTACCTAATTTTGACCTAGAAATAGTCGCTTTCGACATTCGTTAGTCATAAAATAGTTAATTTCAAAAGTCTACTCCGGCTCCTAATAAATATTAACGAGATCAGTTTTGAGTTTGAAGATAGCGTCTCCCGTACGTGCGGTAAGGGAATATTAGTTTCGGGTTAGTTATCTAACGGAACAACAACTAAACGCTAAAGGTAACCAAGCATGCTCATATGGCAGCTCGGTGAACTTGATTATATTGGAACGTCTTATTTAGGAGCTAACACATACGATGAAAGTCAATGAAGTCGTGTATAATTTAATATAAACTGGTACTTAATGGCTTTCAACATCTTTTGGAAGGTCCTGTTATTAATTTAAGCATGCTCGTAAGCCCTAATATAAGTAGAACAACTCATTGAAAATGCCAAAACCCTATGCATGTGTGAGAACCAATTTAAATTATATAAAAAATTCCTTGTATATAAATTTGTTCTTTTTAAAATTATTGTTAAGTTTACTTTATCGTTTTACAGGATTGTTTGACTATCTCCTATTTCATCTATTAATTTACTAGTTATGAAAGTGTATCATTATTATATTACTGAAACCAACAAAAATAGAAATATCGCTTAATTCATAAGACGTTAATTCCGAGGGTATTAGGCTCTTCTTATCCTGTTTTGGGGTATTTTGTCGTTGTTGTTTGTTTAAATATTTTCTGCGTTAAATATTATGTTTATATTTAAGTAAGCCCCACATAATTAATTGGGGTAATTTATTGTAACAAAAATTAAATTTTTGTAACAATACTCACTAATGTAGATAGAGAAATTATACAAATCAGAAGAGGTGTTAGACAGCGTTGCGTGCTGTCCCCATTGTTATTCAATCTGTAAAGCGAAGCTTTTTTAAGCAAGCAATATCAAACAAACAACAGGGTATATCAACAAACGGAGAAATCTTAAACAACATAAGATTCGCAGACGACACCGCTGTTTTTGCAGACAGTCTAGAAGCACTGCAACACTTAGTAAATAGATTAAGATTAGACGTTAAGTCAGTATAAAATATGGACTACAAAGGAACGTTAAGAAAATTAAGTGCATGATTATTTCTAAGCAACATACAGTAGGAAGGCTAGATATCGAAGGGAAACAAATAGAAAGAGTGAATTACTACAAATATCTGGGAACCTGGGTAAATGAAAACAATGACCAAGGTAGAAAAATAAGTACACTCATTGAAATTGCAAAACAAGCATTTATGAAAATAAAAACAATGTTTGTTAATCGAAACCTTCCTCTGGGTCTGAGGATAAGAGCCTTAAGATGATACGTGTTCTGGACTTTCTGGACTTATGGAAACACGTCCAGAATGTAAAGCTGGACACTAAACGTGGATAATGTAAAGAAGTTGGAATCATTTAAGATGTGGTGCTATAGAAGGTTTTTGAAAATACCATGGACCAAACCAATTACAAATGCAGTTACAAAAAAGTGTAAAGAAAGCTACAAAAGGATTGCGAGGTCATAAAGCACATCAAAACAAGAATGCTAAAGTATTTACGCCACATTACCAGAGGTGCGAAATATGAAATATTAATTCTCATAACGCAAGGTAAAGTCGAGGATAAAAGATCCATAAGGGAACGAAGAATTTCCTGGCTAAGAAACCTAGGAGAGTTGTATAGTTGCAGCACAGTAGATCTTTTCAGAGCAGTCTTCAATAAAGTACAGATAGCTATGATGATAGCCAACCTCCGATAAAAGAAAGAACTATAAGAAAAATAATGTGTGATGTTTTAAACTCCATTCCAAAAATCGTTTTCAAAAAGACTATTTTAAAAATTCTGCCTAGTTCCGGCCGTAGAAAAGTTAGCCAGCAAAGAGATAATCGTTTTTGGTGACGACACTTTTAGGAAATCGCCATTCCACTGCGATTGCTGCAAGAAAGCTTCTTCAGGAGGTTCGAAATGTGAATGTAAGTAAGAGAACGGTTAGAAAAAGCCTTTATGAAAGAGGAATAATGGCAAGAAGGCCGAATATTATTCCCGAATTACAACCCAGACACTGTAGCAATCGATTAATTTTTGCTCGACTACATCAACACCAAGATATACAGAATTGTAGCCGAATTCTCTTTACTGATGAATCGCGGTTCTGTTTGTAGTCTGGCGACGGCCAAAAGAGGGTTAGGAGACAAATAAATTAAAGATATGCCCAAGCATATAAACTAAAGATATGTCTCAGAGAAGAAAGTTTAGCGGTGGTGGTGTCATGGTTTGTGCTGAAATCTCATTTAAAGCTCGAACTGAATTATTTTCACCAATAGTCTATTGAATTCTCATCGTTATATAGCGGATGTTTTGGTAGAAGCAGTACTTCCATTTGGTCCATATATTAGGGAGAATTTCGTCTTTATGCATGACAATATATGGCTTCATACTGCAAGAATCGTGACTTAGTTGGGGAAGCAGGAATTAATACTCTACAATGGCCAGCTTGTAGCCCCGATCTAAATATCATTAAACATTTTTGGGATAAACTTTATCGTAGAGTTAGGCCAGTCAGGCCAGCCATAATGTCTTGCATATTTTCAAAACATGTTTCGTGAAGAATATAAACGTATCGCTATATAAAAGTTTTTATTCAAAATTTGTTCTTTTCCTTTTAATTTCATATGCAAACCATTATTGATGTTAAGGGTATAATATTATTATAAGGCACAATATTAGAAAATTTTAGTCAAGTTTACTGGTAATTTTTATTGTTAAACTGTTTATAAAATAAAATAAAGTGTATTGAAAATAGCAAGTTTGCCGAAACGTTTAAGCAAAAGTAAAATAGTTTTATTTACATCAGACCCAGGATATACAAGTTTCTATTTAAATATTTACGGTCAGAAAATAACCAATTATATATATATATATATATATATATATATATATATATATATATATATATATACAGTGTAGGTAAAATTTGATGGTCGGTATGGTAAAACTTAACAGGATATCTAACACAGATATAAAATCATATTTTCAGCGAATAGACAAAGATAACAATCATATTCCCCCTTGGTCTCCCCTCCATAAATCTTCTTTACGCCCATTTTGCCTGTTAGTGAGACGATTAGTTCCGATCAGAGATATTTTACATATTCTGTGGTTCCGATCCTCATAAAGCTAAGAAACTAGAGGTGGGTCCTTTAGTTTTTTAAATTTTTATCGGAACCGTTTTTCGTAAACTGTAACTAGTTGATTGTTTACCAGTATTCAAATTAGCGAGTATGCAAACATATTGGCTATTATCGTTTATGTGTATAAGTATTAAAGTGAAAGAAACTAACGAAGAATATATTTATTATAACTTGAAAAATAAATTAAACAATACAAATAGTACTTACATTTACATGGACTTAAGTCATCTATATCAGTTTCTTTTTCTTGTACTAGTCAATTTTCAATAGTATAATCTTCTTTTTCTTTTTTTTTATAGAAGTAACCAGCTTCAACCATCAACTAGTTGATTTTAACGAATTTAACCGAAAATTTATAGTTTAACACGGTTTAATTAGACTGCTGCCATTTTTCTGGAAACCATAATTAAGAAAACATCGCTTTTAAAATTAGTGAAATTATTATTCAGGGGTTCTAAAACAAAAAGTAAATTTTGCAGTAACTGATAATGCCTCAAATATGGTCATAGGTATTAAATATTCTTTTGGAATGAAAACATTTAAATTGTTTTGCTCATACGTTAAATTTATTGATGGAGGACGCACTTAAATGCTGTCGTGTACAAATAGATAAAATAAAAAGTCTTTTTTTCGACAATTCGGCAAAAAACACATTTCAAAAAAGTACCTTATCTTCAGAAACGCCTTTAAAATATCAATTACAACATAATAAAGATCCCAAACGGCCAATCCAAGACGTGGAAACTAGGTAGAACTTCACCTATTACATGTTAGAAAGAATGACGGAGTTAGAAGAGGCAATCCGTTCCACATTGGTATCAGTTAATATAGACTTTGACTTAGACCAAATCTAAATAATGAAGACTGGATTATTTTTTCGTAATTGTCCTAAATTTTACGGCCTTTTAAAGAAATAACAAGTACAATGAGTGGCCAAAAATACTTGAATGATAGTTCAATGATTGTTTTGGTACGCTGCCTGCAAAAATCTTGCAATAAAATTTTAGCAAACAGTAACCTTACATCCATAGTTAGTATCCGACGTAGTACGGGTTTTTATTACTAATTACGGGATAATTACTAATCTCGGGTTTAGCAAAAAGATTTAGAGGGATAGAATACAGTGGCATATTGTCATTATGTACGTTTATGGATTCACGATTTAAAGTGCAGGGATTTTCTGATAAAAATGACGCTAAAAAAAACAAAAGAAAGAGTTAAGAAGCTGGTTACTTCTATAATTAAAGAACAAGAAGATTGTACTATTGAAAATCAACCAGTATAAGAAAAAGAAACCGATTAAGATGACTTAAGTCCATGGTGTATTTTTGATCAATTAATTGGACATGACTCATCTAAACGTACACCTGTAGCGAGAGTCCATTACAATGGTGAAAAAACCATCGCCATGTATCTCCTAACTTAACCACTATATTCATAAAGTATTGTAAATGTGAACACATGTTCAAAATCAGGTTTAATTTTAAATAAAAGAAAAACACAATTAATAAGAAGTAAAGTAAAAAAACTTATGTTTTTAAATGTCAATTTAGACGATTCGTGATTTAATAATAACGTGTAATGTAAACGTAGGTACGATTTACTATTTGTATTGTTTAGTTTAGTTTTCAAGTTATAATAAAATCTTTTATTAGTTTCCTTCACTTTAATAAATATACAGATAAACGATAATAGCCATTATGTTTGTTTATGTAGGTAGTTTCTTACTTGAAACTACTACTATTAAAAAATCATAGTTACTTGTTTACGAAAATAGATTTTGCGACGTCAATGACCCACCTCTATTCGTAAATACCTGTTTACCCTTTGATTCGGTGATTTGACCACGCGGCACGCCACGTTGGCAGATAGTTTTGTAGGAAGCTTTTTTATTTATATGCAGTTTAATATTTTTATTGGAAATAAGGCATAATGTCACTTTAAAATAAGCTTATTTTGATGTTTAGATTTTTAATTCGGAAATCGTTTTTAAAATACCAAACATTAATAAATTTTATTTATATAAAACGATTTCCGAAGTATAAATCAAAATGTTATATTACACTTATTGTAAAGTAAAATTGTGGTATATTCCCAATAAAAAACAATAAGCTGCCATTTAAATCCATTTCGCCCAAATTTCATTATCTTGGAGCATTGTTCAAATGCGAAAAAGACAACAGGTCAAATAAAACCAATAAGTTTGGCAACGTTGAATTTCCCCTTTTTATTATATCCACTCCATATCCACTCATTTATGTTCGGTGATATAAAAGGCGGACACCTAATATATCTCTCTCTCTTTTTAAACAGTTGTTTCTCACTCCATCTCATGTAAGGTCCATACCGACCATAAACTTTTACCTATACTGTATACAGTATGATGCAGATTTATTGAATAAATTCATTATTTTTGAAACAGATAACTTTTAAAATCATCTTTAAACACGTCAATTTTAATTTTTGAATGGTCATCAACTGCTATATATGTGTTGGACATTACGTCATCAGTGTCGGCGTAATGACGTAATCGACAAATTTTTTAAATACAAACCGAGGTCATGCGACAGCTTAGTTGAAAGGTCTCCTTATCGCCTTTACAACGATATAATCATTTGAATATTGTAAAAGAATAATAATGAGAGCGTTATATGAGGGTAATGGAAACGCTGTCACCAAATGAAATACACAATAGATCCTCAAGGGATGCTAACCCTGCGAGCGGCTGCAAGGAATACTGGTCACACTGGTCTGGAGGGCTGGCTCGTCTTCGTGGATTTACGAGAAGATAAGGGATTTCGGGATAGGGGTAAGGACTCCTAGGTCTCAGGTCCTGTGGAGAGTAGAGGTTATGGGCTTACTTTTGAAGCCGGAGATATGCATACGCAGAATCTCGAGTTCTCCTAGTCTCTAGTGAGTCGGACGGAAGGAACATTAAAAAAAAAAACCAAATTAGAGTCAACAATATATTGAATCTACCCTGAAGTTACTAATACAATCGTTAACACGTTATTCTGCGCGTCGGGAGACGATGTAGCAAGATAGTGAAGAGTTGACAGTTGTACTAATATAATTACACAGGTTAGTATAAAGAAATCTGTTACCTTATGTGTATATTAGGGCTTCAACCACGACACGTTCAGTCTTCTGGAACTCGGTCAGTTGAGGGTTGCGAACTTTCGAGCTGCCACAATAACCGGACTACACGCGAATTCTGCCAGAAGATACCCGGCCCCCGGAAAATCACCGACTGTCTCGTACTGTTCGCGTACGGGACGCTGTCGCGTCCCAGTCACGGTGGCCCGCTATTACTGACTGCTTCCGTCGTATATCCAATACTGACTGACTACTGGTTCGGTTTTTATCAAATGGTGTCCTAGTTGACCGGTTGTAGTCCAGGTTACGTTTTCGCCGAGTTGTAGTTTTGGCGTTATTGCTGCCTATTTGGGTCACGGGTGTTTCGTGCTTTTTATACGTTTAAACAATTATCAAACAATGCAATAACTAGGTCAATTGTTATACTTTGTATAATTTAAATGTATAAGTTAACTGTATTAATTATCCCTTATTTAATTTGGAATATATAATAATTATCTCGAATAATTATTATCTTTTCTATGCTACTTATTATTCCATTATCCCTTTATTCCAACTTCTCACTCACTTGCTACGCTTACATTACAATATTCATTTTTACAGGGTTAACCAAAACTGTTAGTATATTAATAGAATTAACAATAAATGGTTACTTAAATACAATTTAATTACAGCAAATGTTTAAATCGACTACCTTCAGCAATTATACAATATGTGAAAGATGAGTAATAAATTCTTTCCTAACGTTTTCGATTACTTCAGGTATTATTCTATATTATTGTACATTATTCGATCGATGTTGATACACTCTTTTACTTTTACTTTTGCTCTTTAAATACATTCCTCAAAAAAAATCTAACGGAGTTAAATCTAGAGACCTTGGTGGCGATTCGATGAGCCTCTTCTATCTATGGAGCCACCTGTGAAAACGTTATGAAGGTAATTTCGTTCCTAATTGCCGTAGTGTGAGGAAGCCCTATCATGTTGATACTACAAATAATTTTTATTTGGAAATAGCTGATTTAGCTGTGGCAACAGATAATCCTATGGAAATTCTCAATAACGTGAAGTACTTCAGTTTTCCTCAAAAAATATAGCCCTACAATTTGATTGTTTATAATGCTGGCCCAAACATTTACCTTCTCGAAATATTGTGTCCTATACTCTTCCATCCAATGTGAATTTTCACTTGCCCAGTATCGATAGTTTAGCATAAAAGACGCTTCATCAGAAAAAATTACCTTTTGTATGAAACCCGGATCTTTGTTACATTTTACCATAACGGTTTCGCAGAATTCGATTCTTCTATCAAAGTCATCTTCTACTATCTCCTGCACCAGATGTACTTTGTATGGATGTCACTTCTCCTTTTTAAGCACTATTACAACAGTTGATTAGTGGACATTATTATCTAGTGAGACCTGCCTAGAACTGGTGTGGGAATTGTCTTGAAACGCTAGTAAAACGTCCAGTTTTTTGGCTTTGGATATTGAGTTGTTACCACTTCTAGGAAGATCTAACCATTTCTGTAATTTTTTTTTTCAATTTTACTTACTGTTGACTAAGTAACTAGTCCGCGATTGGGGTATTTAACATTAAATAAATTACGAACTTCTGCTTGAGTCCTCACTCTATCTCCATAACCAATCATGATTAAAATCTAGATTCGTTCTGTTAGTTTTATTTTTGTAAATGCTGTTATTAATGTTGGCAAGAAGCTTAAAGAGTAAAATTTGACGTCTAATTTTTGACATATTCACAGATTATTGTTAATTAAAGACGAATTAATGACAATATTGATATAAATATTTTTAAAAAATATCTTGGAATACATACTTACTTATAATGCAGCATTGTTTGTTTTCAATGTTTTTTTTTCAGTGGCGTTCCTTTGTGTATTTTAGTCATCGAGCAATAAGACAAAAGAGGGAATCTAATCCTTATGAAAAGGAGACCAAAAAAGTGGCCTCTGATGGCGGACATATCCGGAAATGCGAATGCGCCAAATTTAAATTTTCCGACACTTATCAACAGTAGCTATATAATATTCGCAGAATGTGTCTTAGACGAGAAAGTTTTAATTAATTATTAATGATAAGAGTCTAAAATGCGACACAATTGTTAAAAAACTTCGTTATAAATAAGATTTCATGTGACATTTGGGACAAACAATAACATAACCCAACTAAATTTGATGTCAAACAAGGAGAGAGACTTTTTTTCCTTGTTTAATGTGGCCTCTAAAGATCGCACTTCCTGTCTAACAATATGTTTGCCCCCCCTATCATTACATTCCCTCTATTGTCTTTTTGCTCGATGATTTTAGTTCAGTGAATGAATATTTATTGTAACTCCATGTTATTTAACAAAGTTCATAATTTTGGTGAACCTTGTAGAAATAAATATTCAAGTGAATACATCGTTGCAAAGACGATGAGAAGACCTTACAAATTAGCTGTCGCGTGACCTCGGTTTGTATTTAAAAAAATCGTCGATTACGTCATTACGCCGACACTGATGACGTAATGCCCAACACATATATACCAGTTGACGGTCATTGAACTTGACGGTCGGCGGTCAGTTGATGGTAAAATTGACGTTTTAAGATTTTTTTTAAAGTCGTCTGTTTCTGAAATAATGAATTTATTCCATACATTTGCAGCATACTGTATATATATATATATATATATATATATATATATATATATATATATATATATAATATATATATATATATATATATATATATATATATATATATATATATATATAAATATATATAAATATATATATATATATATATACATATATATATATATATATATATATATATATATATATATATATATATATATATATATATATGTATATATATTATATCAGCAGGACTTATACGGATAATTTATATACGAGATAATGTCCGGATTTATACAAAATTTGAGATAAAAATAAAGTACACCCTTCAACTTTATTCGCTTCGGCAACCTCTTTCATTTTTAATGTACATTTTAAAAAAACCCTTTCACTTTTACTCTTCCCTAAATGATTGAAAGGGTTTTAAGCAACAAACGTTAATGAATAAATTAGTAAAAAATCAACATATCTGACATGTGTTTTTGTTTCAGCTTTAGTGGATTTCGGTACGGGGGTCAAAATAAATCGGTTGGAAGTCCCGGAAGTGATAAAGCACGGTGACCCGGTAACATTAGACTGTGATTTTACATTAGAAGATAATGACCAAGACTTGGTGGTGAAGTGGTTTTTTAATAAGACGTTGGTATACCAATGGATTCCAGGTAAGTTACACCCATTTTTTATTTTGGGAAAATGCTCCGTTTGACAAAAAATGCGGACACTATATATTATTTATAACATTACCATTAATAATAATTAAAACTTAAATTAAACCTTAAGATAAATATTTAAATAAATAAGATTAAGTATTTGTGAAATCCAAAATGCAGAAGAATGATTAAGCATAATTTGTGTCTGTACTATCCAGTGCAAAGTCAGAATACCATCTGTTCTTTCCACTAAAACTAGATTAGTTATTTTTTTATTTTAATATTATTTATTTTAACTGACCAAGTGAAAAATAATAACAAACAATTATACTTAGAGGCGCACGAATTATCTTAGTACGTAAGCTTGTGTGATGTAGTAACGGTTAAGTCATACTTTTGTCAAATTCTTATCTGTGGTTAGTTTTTTCTTCTTCTTCAGCCTGTGTTCGTCCACTGCTGAACATAGGCCTCTTCAATTTGCTTCCATCGATTTCTACTTTTGGCAATTCTCATCCACTGCTTGCCCGCGACTTGTTTGATATCGTCTGTCCACCTCTTCTGCGGTCTGCATACTCCTCGCCTGTTCTCTCTTGGTCTCCAGTTTGTTAATCTTTGTGTTCATTTCTTCGGGATAATCTCGGGCAACGTGTCCGACCCATTGCCACTTGAGCCTTGCAATACGTTCTGAGACATCAGTAATTTTTGTTCTTTCACGAATGACGTTATTTCGAATCCTGCCTCTCAAACTAATCCCTAGCATGGCCCTCTCCATTGCTCTTTGGGTTGTACTGAGCTGTTCTAAGGTTTTCTTTGTGAAGGCCATGGTCTCCAGTCCATATGTAGTTACAGGCAAGATACATTTGTCATAAACTCTACGTTTTAGACACATTGGTATATCTTTATTCTTCAAAATAAAGCTTAATTTGCCGAAAGCTCCCCAAGACAGTTGTATGCGTCTTTTTATTTCGGCTATTTGATTTTCTTTGCCGATTTTAATGGTATGTCCAAGATATATATATATAGTGGTCTACATTTTCAAGACTGACGTTGTCAATAACAAGATTAGTTTGTAAATTACTCATTATTTTTGTTTTCTGAAGGTTCATTTTGAGACCTATTTTATTTGACTGCTGCTTTAATTCCTTCAACATTTGCTCCAGTTCCTTGATATCTGTACTAAATAATACTATGTCATCCGCAAACCTCAAATGACTCAAACGTACACCATCAATGTTTAGACCTTTTTCCTCCCAGTCAAGCTGTTTGAATACATTTTCCAATGCTAAGGTAAAAAGCTTTGGTGAAATAGTATCACCTCGTCTAATACCTTTATCAAGGCGCATTTTTTCAGTTTTTTCGTCTTCATTGATTTTGATGTGGCATGTGGCCTGTTCATAAATGTTTTTAATGAGTGTTGTGTACCGTGAGTCTATTCGAGCATCCTTCAGGGCTGACAAAAAGGACCAAGACTCAATACTATCGAAAGCCTTGTGAAAGTCGATAAATGCCATATGTAAAGGTACAGGTGTCTGATGGTTTGTAAGTAATCATTAGCTCCAAACCCTTTTCTAAATCCCGCCTGTTCAACCGGTTGATATAAATCAAGTTTTTGTGATATGCGGTTGGTTATTATTTTTTTTAACAATTTGTATAAGTGTGACAACAAACTTATAGGTCTGTAGTTTTCAATATTAGTAGTGTCTCCTTTCTTGTGTAAAAGTATTATTTCGGCGTTTTCCCATAGGCTGGGTATTCTTTTTTCTGTTAGACACTTATTCAGTAAGACTTCCACAACTTCTACAACGATGTTGCCGCCCATTTTTAACATTTCAGACGTTATACGATCCTCGCCGGGAGCTTTTCTTGTATTTCATTTGCTGTAAGGCATGTCTAATTTCCGAAGAGGTTATTTTAGGGAGGGTTTCCGAGCCGACGTTTAGAATTGTTTTGTGGTCTGTTTCGGGGTTCTGTATAGTAGATGTATAAAGATTCTTATAGAACGTTTGTATTTCCTTGATTATTTGAGTTTTTTCGGTCACCGTATTCCCCTGTTGATTTTTGATTTTAGTTATATTTGATTTTCCTTTAGTTAAATTTGATTTCAATACTCTCATGTTTCTATTGTTTTCGATGGTTTGCAATATTTGTTTTGTTTTATAAGCCCGCAAGTCTGACCTTATGCTCTTTTTAACTTTATTGTTGATAGCTTTATACTCTGGTAATTCTTTCGATGTTCTTCTTCTTTCTTCCAATAAATTAAGTGTTGTTTGTTTCAGTTTCGTTTTTCTGGGATTTTTATTTTTATCACAGATCTTTTTTGCAGTTGATGTTATGTCGTTCGTTAATTTTTGTGTTATTTCATTTATATCTTTCGTGTTGAATACTGGTAGAGGTCCTAGTTTCTTTTTTAGTTCACTTTGATATTCCTCTTGATTCATTTCGAGTGCTTCTATGTTTGGCAATTTATCCTGTGTTAATAATTTTCTTCTATCTAATTTCGTATTTATTTCTATTCGCGTCCTAACTAATCGATGATCACTACCAGTGTTGAAAGAATTTAGTACAGTAAGATCTTTAGCAATGTTTTTGAAGTTAAAGAGTATAAAGTCAATTTCATTTTTTACTTTGCCATCTGGGCTTAACCACGTCCATTTTCTCTGCATCTTTTTCTTGTAGAAGGTATTTAAGCAGAATAGTTTTTCTTTGCTGAGGAAATTTACGAGCATATCTCCCCTGTGATTTCTACTTCCCAGTCCAAAATTTCCAATATATTCGTTGTCGTTGTTATTTTCGTTCTTTCCTATTTTAGCGTTGAAATCTCCCGTAATTATTACGTAATATGTTTTCTCTAGGTTTCTGGCTCTTGTAATGTCTTCATAAAGTTGTTCTACCTCTTCATCATCTGCAGAAGAAGTTGGTGCATAACAGTGGATTATTTGAATGCTGTATCTACGATTTAGTTTTATTACCATATAGATAACTCTATTAGAAATTGCTTGGAATTTGGTTACCATGTTTTCAATTCTCTTATGTACTAAAAAGCCTACGCCTCCTATACCTTGGTTATTTCCTGAATTGTATTGGTACAAAGTGTGCCCTGATTTTAGTAGAGTCGATTCTTCGCCTTTAAGCCTTGTCTCGCATAGGCCTACTATGTCCCATTTGATGGTCTTAAGTTCTTCTTGCAACTCTTCTAGGTTATCTTCTGTCCTCATCGTTCTGATATTATATGTTCCGATGTGCATTCTGTGTGTACTAAGCGAATTCTTGCCTCCCCCATATTCCACGAGGCAGACCCTTTTCTGGGTGTGGGATTTGGCATAACATACTCCACCCACCTGGGGACCGTTCCGTTTCGTTTTAGTATTCGCCATTTCTGTATTTGGAAGGATGAGTAGCCTTGAAACACCACGCTGGCTAGACGGGTTGGTGAGTTTTATATCAGCCGCCCATTCTGGGTCAGACGCTGTTCGCAGCCGTCCATTCTGGATCAGACGCTACTGTTTTGATTCTATATCAACCCTAAAATCGAGGGTTGCCATTTCCGCCATCCACACCGTACCGAAGCTCCGCTTCTCCGCCGTGTCTGCCGTTGTGGACTTCATCCGTAACCCTGGACAAGGGACCCTAACCAGGTACTGGTTTCCCGGGTCAGGAAACCCCCGGAATCTGCGGAGGGCAGGGATTGATTCATTTTCCCTGATAGGACTATCTTTAAGAATTTAAAGAGTTCCTACCCGCTACCCGGTTAGTTTTTTATCTGCATCTTAATATCGCCGTAATTAGGGATATTAATAGGTATATAGGAAAACATATGATTGTGTAAAGCAATTAAGAAAAACCCTGATTAGACTAGACTGAAATGTATACGTCTACTCCGTGACTGAGTCACGGAGTTTGTCAAGATATTTTCCTCCATCTGTTGCTAGATTTCTTTTTAATTCTGCAAAACTATTTGTCCCGAAATAGAATTTGCATTGTTTTTGGTTTGCTTATATTTCCTTTTTTTCTTTGCTTGTTTATGTACATCCTACTGCGTATTTGTCTTCTATTCCGTTTTGATTTTTAATAACTTATTGTGCTCACTTATTTTGTCAGGTGTTTCTTTTTTGGCCAAGATATTTTTACAGCATTATTTAAAATGGGTTCTACTATCTATCTTACTTTATGGTAATAATTTCCTAGTTGTTGAAAACATTTCCACACATTATTTGTATTTAGAAGGTTGTTATGGTTTAATTAATTAGCTTTCTTCGTATTACATGTTTGGTTCACTCTATCTTGAGATTTAATACTACTTTTTCTGTCACAGCTTGAGTACTATACTAAAAGCAGTCGACACTATAACGTTTTAAAATATTTCTTGTCGATTCGATATAATTAAATTCTAGTAAAACCGTCTACATTGGCCTGTATCCACTATTACCGGGAACTTTTTTAAAGAATTTTTAAATAATTTTATGTAAAGGTTAGGTATGTAATTATAAAAAATTCGAGAAGCCAAAGAAAAATGAGTTTCCAACGAATGCAAGGAAATACGACAGTTACAATATGCACAAAAAAATAAAATTATTGACAAACAAGAGGAAATTCAATGTCACCCAACAGCATAAAATATAGCAATAGAAATCTTATCTCGGAGCCATCAACGATCTTAGAAACATCGAAATCGTACATAGAAAAATGATTTGCATCTGACAGGGATGATGATCACCTATATGGAGAAAGAGAAACAAGATCTTCAATCCTTAAATCAGAGATAGAAGATGAAATTGCAGCACTAAAAAACAATAAGTCAGCAGATCCGGACAATGTGCCCTGCGAAACATTAAAGATCCTATGTAAATCAGACAAACAGTTCCTTGATAATCTAGTACTTTTTAACAACATATATAATAGCGGTAAAATCCCGGAGAACTGGCTGCAGTAAAGATTTATTACAATTCCGAAAAAATCAAATGCCCAGATCTGTGATGACTATCGGCTAATAAGCTTGATCAATCATGACACTA